TGTGGATTTATGTCCTTCAATACCCTCATTTGAGATAGGCTTTGAGCTGAGCCCTCCCTTTGCGTTACAATTTTTGGTTGTGCCCCCCCAACTCAGAGGCTAGGTGGCCCGCTGAAGTGAGTCGGGGTGGAGGTGGCACTCTGTCCCCAAGCCCCACTGCATGGGGCTGGCTGAAGCTGCCTGGTGTCACCGCTCACTCCCCCCCAAATGTTCCTCCATGCCCCCCTAGGGAAGCATACCCCACAGTTTGAAAACCTTCGTACTAAATAAAATGTGTTGTCTACCATTACAGGATAGAATATCAGGGTTGGAAGGGACCTCAGGGGGTCATCTAGTTCCTGCTCAAAGCAGGACCAGTCCCCAACTAGCCCCCTCAAGGATTGAACTCTGACAACCCTGGGTTTAGCAGGCCAATGCTCAAACCACTAAGCTATCCCTCCCTCCTCTGAAAGAAACCTGTAGTCGGCAGGATACAAACCTGCGTGGGGAGACCCCAATGGATTTCTAGTCCATTGCCTTAACCACTCGGCCACAACTAGTCTTAAAACAGGGCTTAGCCAGGATTTGAACCTGGGACCTCTCACACCCTAAGTGAGCATCATACCCCTAGACCAATGAGCTACTATATGAGGTATTGCTGCATAAAATTATGAGGTATTTCCTCATAAAATTTCCTCTTTTCCATCATTTATTGCTCATTTCCAGGAAGGTGCAGCTTGGAACAGAGCCTCATCCCTCCACCTTCCCCATATTCCATTAAGCAGAGTCAGCAGCAGCAGGTTAGTCAAAATACAGCACAGAGCCAGCCAGGTCTCTTCAGTCAGAGCTATGCAGTTTACACTCAGAAATGCCATCACCTCACCCTGGCATGAAGCCAGTCCCCCTTTCTAAAAGCCGGCTGTCCATCTTCATGGCAAGAGGCAGGGACACGTTAGTGTCTGGGTGAAACCGTGGACTGGCAACCTCCGCTGATGGCGTCAGCACAAACTGAGCCACACTGGGCATTTTCAACTGGTTCATCAGCTCAGCGGCCCGGGTCAGGATCTCCTCATTGTCTTCCTCACTGTACACTGAGGCCATGGCAGGGCTCTGAACAAATGCTCTAATCTTGGACAGGAACAGGGACATCCTGGGGATCAAATCTTGGCTGCATGAGGCCAGTTTGGTCAGCGTTGTCATGAGAACCGTGATGACACGTGGCAAATACTTTGGGATGCTGGCCAAGGGCCGGAGTTGCGTGATTTCAAACAGAATGGCCTCCAGGGCTTCGAAGAACTTGTTGAGCTGCTCCACAGTACACCTTTTGTCGTATGAGACAGACATGTACTCTCCAATAGCCCAGACCACGCAGGTGAAGATATCCTCTTTGTTCCGGATGTTGCTGACAGTTCCTGAAAACTCCAGATATTTCTTGTGTACCTCCTGACGAGAGCTTGCATACCCCCAAGTGGTACGCGTACCCCAATTTGAAAACCACTGAATTTATTAAAATGACATGGGCATGTCCACAAAATAAGGGACAAAGGAGAACTAGATCACATAATTTATTTGGATTTTCAACACTTGACAAAGTGTCTCAAAAGAGGCCATTAAGGAAACTGAGCAGTCACGGAATAAGAGAGAAAATTCTATCATAAAAAGAAACTGGCTAAGTGACGGAACATGAAGAGTTCATGTTTGTACAGCAAGTCTCACAATAGGGCTTCCCAATACTACTGTAATTCAAATAATAAGTAGGAATATGTCTGGAAAATGCAGGAGGCAGATATTCTAATAAATGTCTCCACATTACTATATAATTATTACTTACTGTATGCATAATAACCTCTACATTAGATAGGGAATTATCATTGCAGGTCAGTAGACTTCTGCACTATGCCTGCAGTCTGCCAAAATCAAGCAATCTATCACCCACGGAGTGTATAAGTGAGTCAGCGTCTCTCCTGGTCTATGTAATCTGGTAATGGTTTGGTTTCATACCTATGGCAAATGTGGGTGTGCAAATTCCCAGTGGAAAGTGAAGTAGAGTTAGTGTCAATACTGTTGGGTAGGAATAAAGTCCCCCTCAGTCCACTCCTGAAATGTCTAGATTTTGTGAAAACTCTAGCATCATGCCATTTGCCTTGCCGCCCTACGTTAATATTCTGGAACTGACTGCAATAATCCTCTCAGGCTTTCCTCTCCATTGAGTAGGAACCCATTCTTTTAATGTACCCCTGAGTTTGCAGAGGTTGCGAGATACAGAATGGGCACATAAATTCCATCAGAAGCTACTGCACAGTTCCAGAATCCCAATTGTTTAAATAGCCCAGTGTTCTCTGGCACATTGCCCACCTGGATCACATGCCCCTGCAGCACTCAGTGTTTTGCCATGCAAACCTTCTAAGACCACAGCATCCATTGTGGACTTGCCAACTTCAAATTGTTTTTCCACAAGTAACTACCCGGGGTAGCCAGCTTTCACAGGGCAATTGTTATGCTTTTTCATAGCAAATGAAGTACTCATCCTGGTGGTCTGATGCTACAATGTTAGGCCATCCTCTCACAGAGGTACAGAAAAGTCTCCTTCCTCCTTCTGAAGCCACTGCTGTTCATCCTAGATCTTGAGAATTATTCAGTCCCATCAGTCTGTGATTGTGGTCTGAACTCAAAAGCAGCACTTAAGAATAAGATCAATCAGCTGAAGTTCAGCTGTCTATTCCAGGGGTGGCAAGTGCACAACAGTTATTTATAATCATCCTATAAAGCACTAATAATCTTATTCTCTAGCTCTTTGTAGGTATTTCTGGAACATCCTCCACCTGCTGACCTCAGCTGCTGCCTCAGATTTCTAGCAGCTTCTTTTCAAAAACTCCCGCAGCAGGAACATTTCTTACTAAACAAAGAGTGACAGCTGAATGTTTATCTGGCCTTAATTTTGAGAACAAGACTAGAAAAGGGCACTGGTACACAGCAAAAAAAATTGAGTTTCGTAGGGGATTATGGGACTTCAACCTCTTCTCTCACAATTCCCCAGGGTTCCCAGAAGGTCTTTCAAAATCTCCCAGAAGCCATTGCTTCATGTAGCCATGCCAGGTACTGAGAGGCACCCAGAAAGCAGTGCAATTATAATGGGTGCACTAGAGTGCAAGTGTGTACATGAGGCAAAATTTTAACTGAAGTGGCCTGCCTAGTAAGGGGCTACTGTACTATTGGCATTGATATCAGTGCTGTCCCATAGGTTCAGTTGTCGAGGGTAGTGGGGGGGTGGGGGGAGGGGATGGGGAGCTCACTGAATTGAATCCATCCCTTGCTACTTCAGGAGCAAAGTGAGAATCTGATTGGGTGATATAGTCCCCTTCCAAATGCTAACTATTTCACAGAGAATCTAATACTGATAGAATTTAGCAAGATTCCAAAAGGATTTCAGTCTATATGGATAACAGGAATATCTAGATTATAATAAGTACTAACGTCTTTGATGACTATTTCATGACAGGTAGTCAAGGGAGGAGGGAGACACAGGAATGGGGAGGAAAGAAGGATAGGAGTTGCAGTAAATCTCTGGGTCTCAGATTAACATGGTAGGAAAGTAAGATTGTTAGTAAGTGCAGGACAGGAGAGACAATGGGCACCAGGAAGGTTATGTCTGTGGATCCAAACAAGAATCTGGACACAATGTGCAAGTAACTGCAGTACTAGATCATTTCTGTTTAACAAAGCATGGGACATATTGGAGAACTGGACCAGGGCAAGAGAGAAACTCTCTCACTTTAATTGTTATGGAACCCTGGCAAAATATAATTTAGATTTTGGGTGGCAGCAGAAGCAGGTCTCATGGACTGCAGACATTTGCATCCAACTTCCCCCTCATCTAATGCTCAGTCATCTTGCCCCCAAACTGCAGTGCTCTTCATCCATTGATTTTATATTGGCAATACAGTCAGGGTGACCAGACAGCAAGTGTGAAAAATCGGGACGGGGGTAGGGGTAATAGGAGCTTATATAAGAAAAAGACCCAAAAATCAGGACTGTCCCTATAAAATCAGGACATCTGGTCACCCTAAATACAGTTGTATTGTATAGGCTATACCAAACGGTATTATTTGAGTGGTAGTGTGTGGTCAGTTCATACAGCTATGTTTTGTTATATAATTAGGTCAAATGTGTTACCATATGACAACCACTAGATGGCACCATTGGCACACGTTTCATTCATACAGCTCAGTTACTCTGATGAGCACCTTAAGTCTAGTCTTTGGTTAATAATTTTAATTTATAAGATTGTCCTTCACACAGTTCCTGGATGCTGAACAAGAAATAAAATATCTGTGCCCAAAGAAAAACTTGCAGCCACCATTTAACTATACAGCATCCCTATATTCATACCTCCTCAATGAACCCTGAGAAAGTAAATGAGTCTTATGCCGCAGGTCAGCAGACTAACAGCCAATTTTTCTAAAGTATTGGCTTTGCATTGGCTCAGTTTTTGGCTGCCTACCTTGAGACACTTCAGGCCCGATTTTCAGAGTCACTGGGTGCCTGCAGCTCCCACTGACTTGAATTAGGGTTGTGGGTGCTCTGCACTTGTTGGCCTTAGGCTCTGGTGAACCTTCAGGGAAGTGAGTTCCATATACAGGCAGATAATGTACTACATGCAGCCCTGTAATGGGGTATGCTCTGTCCTCATCCTCTGATGCCCCAGAAACATCACTAATCATGCCAGTAGGTAGCAATTTCACGTGAATTTATTTATATTCCCATCACCAGTACAGTCTTGTGCAGCAAAGTACTTACAGTGTTTCTAGACCTTTTGCACGGGGCCAGGGAGGACCAGATGTCACCTTTTCCTTGAACTCACCAAGAAGTCTAGGCTCCACTAGCACAGGTGCTCCTCCCCACAGCCTTCCTGTATCCTCTTTTACGCCCCTCCGCTGATGGCTATCTTGTTCATCAGCTCTCCCAGACTGATGAGCTACTTAGCTGCACATCCCCAGATATTCAATAGGTGTTAGCTCCCAGCACTCTGTCAGAAGCCCCCAGACATTCAAATATAGGGACTGTCAGCAAATGTGCCCCAGCTGAGCTCTGCTTCTGCAGACATCCAGAACCCCAACCCTGTGAGGTTTCATTGGTCAGACGAATTCAAATTAAATTAAACCTTAGAGAACCTTTCCCCCCAGCTGTCTTGCTACATTAAAAGTCTATTATAGTTACTTATTACTTTGCATTAGAGTAGTGCCAGAGACCCTAATCAGAACTGATCCCTCTAGGTACAGGGACTGAAGTTCCATGGGAGCAGCACAGAGGGAGGAGACTCCTTACTCCACACACAATGTGCACATGCATAAGACACAGACACAAGTGTCTGGCTCAGACTGGGGCTTGCATGAGAGCTAGTTGGCTGAGGCACAACTCTGATAAGATGGCAGTAATGATGGCAGGCTGGAGGAAGCAAACAGAGGCAATGATGTTGCCCCTCAACTCAACAACAGGGAGCTTAGATTGCATTTTTTTCTTTACTTGGGTTTGCAATTTAGAGATCTTGTTGGGATCTTTG